GGGTTGGCTAACCCGCTGACCCTGCCCCCTCTGCCTTCCCCTCCCCCACCAACCACCGGAGGAGCCTGATCCTCCCCCCGCCCGCCGCTGAGCACCAGGCCGAGCCGCCAGCCCCAGTGCCAGTCCGACCCTCTGGCCCAACCCTCGGGATGGCCCAAGTTGTCCAGGGCAACCGCAGCCCCAGGCTGCTGGCTTGAGCTGAGCCCCCACCAGCTTCAGGGGAGAGGGGAAGGGAGGCAGGACCTGGGGGGAGAGGAGACATGGGGGCCATGGCCTGTGCTAGGGGAGGCTTAGGCTGCCCTGGCCTTTGATACCCACCACCCATGATCAAGGTCCCTGTGACCTTCAGATATGAAATTCTAGAGTTAGCGGCTTTGTATAATAGAAAGGTTTGGCACAGACTGATTTGTTAGAAAATTGCATAATTAAATGTTTCTGGCCATTAGTTTCCTAAAGATGTTTGATCAAGAATTAGGTTTAATTAAATTATTACCAGTCCTGTATAGTATTTAACAAACTTTCATCTTTTATGGCATTCAATTAAAACAATATTCCTTTTGCACCTGAGCAAATATTTCTCATTCATGGAAAGCCAGGTGTCACCAGGACTTTTTCTCTGAAATCCGCGCTCCCTCCCCTTTTTTTTAATCATTTGAGACCTAGCCATTTTTATATAATGAAGTTTTAGCTTTCTCTTTTGAAGGTAATTGGATATTTGAACACCCAGATAGTTACACAAGTTCCCAATCAGATTCTTCGTGGAGGTGAATTGTTCCTAAATTCTGAGTATTAATAGCTATTGCTAACTCACTTTACACACACAACCTGTTGTCATAATAAGATGGAATTTGAACAAAAGTTACACTATTACATTGACTGATTTATTTTATTTTATGATAAATATATCTAAAGCTAGTCTCTCTCATATGAGTAAAGACATAATTTCCCAGGTACTTAAGGTCAAACAAGACTAAATGCCAATCACCTCAGTCTAAAGTGATAGTATCGGGCAAGGGGGAGGTCAAGCGAAATTGTTCCATATGACATATATATTAGGCACCTAACGACCTTTGAAGATTTAGGCCTTAAAGACCAGAGTCATTTTAACACACACACACACACACACACACACACACACAACAAAAGTAGTTTAGGGACATATTCCTCCCATTACTGTAAGAT